ATTAGAAAGGCACGTTTGAGCTTAAAATATTCGATTAGAGAGAGGTTTCGGTGAATTATAAATAGATTTCAACACCCAAACGAAGCTTGTCATTTTTTCGTCGTTAAACTTTAGTGATAATAAACGGGAGCCACAATTATTTTCCCTCTAAGTTCATTGATCCTGATTAGAGCTTTAGAATAGTTTATATAGTGAATGAGCATGGCTGACACTTCAGTATATTTGGTTTAGGCTTAGGACAGTTTAATTAACGAGCGCGACAGAGGGCATCGTAGTTGTCGGGAAGATGTCGATACTACTACCGGGCGGCACTCAGCGAAGCGATACCGGAAACATTGAGTTTTCAGTGAGAAGAAAAAAAATCGAAAAGGATGATATGGTTAGTAGACAGGTGGCAAGTCGTTTCTGATCACAAAAAAATGTCAACGATTTTTTACACTATTTAAAATTGAGATTTTCAACAAAGGGGCAGTGCTCTGCATCTACGTTAAGATGTGTGTTCTGCGACTCGTCCGTAGAGCGCTGAACGTCCTACATTTTTAGTGCTTCCTATAGTTTCACTCTTTGCCCTAAGGTTTCGAAAATTAAAGATAATAAATCGGCCTCAACGTTATTATCACTATTAATATTAATCCATTATTATCATTATTGTTATTGTTATTATTATTGACGGTTATAAAAGTGAGCAAGCGGGTATGACAAGAATCTTTCACTAACCTCAATATCCTCTACAGGTCGACAGAGATTTGTTTCTACACCAAGGTGACCTTTTACTGGGTTTCTTTCCATTAGCCATGGTAAGCTATTGATAGATAAGAGATATGCTTATTTTTATGACATTGTTGCAATACTAGTTTATGAAGAGTTCACTACTTGGACGTTGGACGAGCGCTCTACGTAACATGATTTTGCCGGAAACCTGCTTGGTTGAATGGTTGATCCTCAAACAAAGTTCATGATTTGCAGAATAAGATAATCTTCGCGAAAGGCATATAAAACGCATTCATGGCGTGAATTATGCAGGTTGTAAAGACCGTTTCACCCTAATGGCAACCAGTTCCTTTCCTCAGGGTTTCCCCCTTTTCGAAGTTACTCTGCCTACGGGTTGCGAGGACTGGCTGCGAAGTTGATGGATCCTGCAGTTGTTGCTCTTTTGATACTCTGGACTATTCTACAGAGGCACTCTGAGTTAGGTCTTTCGTAACAAGAACTCTAAGGCCTGGTATGGAACAGGACCAATTGGAGTAAAACTTTTGAGCTATCTATCTCGTAACACAGCTGACACGACGGGAGCCAGTCATAATAGCGCTCATTAGTGAGTAATAAACAATCAAACTGAACCAAATTCTCATTAAAATCATATTCGCTAAGCGTCTTTGCGCTTCCGAATTCTTTTTAGCAGTAATAAATCGAGTCAATCGGTAGAGTCGATCATTCTCATGATATAAGTCTTCGTCTTCTGAACGAATCGAATTTTAGGGATGGAGCACAGTACGGGAGAAGACTCCTCATTCGGTGGAACTTTTTCATGCAGATAGTTATCAATTTATTACCAACCGAAATGACTGAATTTTTTTGGGAGGCACTGCTTTTTCTAGCATCTGATATAATTACTAGCTGGCACGGAGCGCAGCAATATTTCAAAAACCAAATTCCATTTAATCTTGGCGGGGAATAATCAATATTTACAACCAATGAATGCTGGGATACGAGAAAAACTCGGGTGAGCTTCAAACCCACGACCATTCTTTGCAGGTGTCCACATTTATCCATTACACCACCGACGGAGTTGCTCTACCTCTGCCTAAATAAACAATTCCTTGAATAAAATGTAATAAGAGTCCATTCCATCCACCAAGATCTTATGAAACGTCCTGGCACCTAGTCTTTTCAGAATAATTTCCTCCATTTCTCCTGTCCAAAGTTTACAATACCTTATTTCTTGTTTATATAGTCAAGCGCTCTTTCAAATGGTTTACTGCCTCATTGTGACTGTGACTGGGTGTTTCTTGGTGTCGGACTGCGAAGTACAGCGGGATTCAACCTCCAGTAGGGCCAGTCAAGCTGAGAAGAAATTCAACGTTTCCACTCGGGAAGACCAGCTGAAAAAACCGTACCACGAATGATCGCCGTATTGGTAGCTACTGGTCGTAAGGTAGTTTCTCTCTGATCCACAAGGACCGGCGAATGCATTAATGTGGTGATGACGCGAGAAAGCTCGCCTAAGCTTACCTCAGACTCTAGCGATGAAAACTTATACCAGAACATTTTCATGTGCTCGGCGACGCACATTTCTTGAAGGCGGACCGTCTAAGTATCCAAGTATATAGTTGAGCGCTATTGCAGGTGTATCTTAAGAATGAAGCCTAAAGCTGTGCACAGATTGCAAGTAGCTAGTAATGATCCTGATCCGTATTCGTAGCGAGGATTGCAAAGTTGAGGATGATCTGATGAGGTGACAGCACCCCATACGAGGGTATGCACTGAATCGGTGTGTTCACCATTGAGCATTCAGAAAACGGGATCCTGCTTACGCGTAGTTCAGCTCAATGTTTCGATAACGTGTCATGACTATTTTCAATCTTGGACTGCTCTAAAGTGATCACATGAAACATGCTGTAATCCATTTCTAGGATGGCATTACTATCCGTGAAGGGAGATTGTTGTGGTATTCACGGTGTTGAGCAAGATACAGCTTTGTTATGGTGTTTCTCTGATTAGATTTGGATAACATCCTAAGCAGTTCATGACATTATTGCCTTTTACTGACTGTCTCTGTTGAAATACGCTGTAGAAGGTAACAATTAGTGTACGAAGCACTGAGGTTGGCTTTTACCTCATTGAAATTTGGTTTGCTTTTCTCCATGAAGTCGTAAGTTAACCTTGATATCTCTCATTCGAAATCACAAACACTACCCGTTGAGGTCGGAAAGAATTCCACCACTTTCGAAAATAGGTACTAATTTGGACGAGGATGATTCAAGGTCATATTCAACTCGGCTTCTGAATGATAGTACCAAGCTCTTTTCCGTGTTAAGAAACCTCACTCTCATGAACTTTCCGCTGCAAATCGAAGTTCGACATCTAAGAAAACCCCTTCTATGGCATGATAAGACGATAAAACATCCTGGACTTCCACCTAGTGTATTTTTCCCCTTCAAAAAATGGAGTAAATATCGAAATAGTGGGGAATTCAAGGGAAACCAAGATAATCCATTAACTTTTTTTTCTCAAGGGAAAGCTACGCAGTATCTGGCTCCTTGTCGCTTCCGCCCACTTCATTTGCACCTTCTGTTACACAGTATTCTGTAAGAGAACCAAACCAAAGGTCTAAAAAGAGCTTAAAGCTTATTGGAGCTTAAAGCGAAATTACCCAGCATCACTAGCACATTGACGACGGCACGACCTACGTAAAGGTGGGCATGTATGATTGAAGCGCTTTTTGGAGTGCGACGCATCGAAATCAGATTCTATTCAGTGTTCGGTAATTAATAAAACGTGGCGAACTAATTTTTTGTGATTATCCCTCTATTTTTCGACTCGGCTTTCTTGTTTTGTTCAAAAAAAGTATAGATAGGAAAAAGGCTGACCTTAAAAGGTGAAATTACAGGTCATTCAACTGGCTCATGCACCGAAATCTGTAGATTCGGTGGCCGCCTTGCGCGAATGTGTTAATAAGTGGATAAAGTCGATTTCAGAATGAACAGGAGTGATGAACTGATCTTGGAAACGCCGTCTAACATGTCCATCTCTTTCAAACTAGTTTCAGAACTAGAAGGATTTCGGCTCTACTTCCATACTACTGATTCCTATGAAATGCGAACCCCTGTACTGCTTCACCATACCTTTCGTCTCCAGTGTTCGTTTAAGACCACGCTCATAATTCAATATATCTGATAATTATTTTTGAGCCACCACGTCATGTAGTCTTTTATGGGCGACTTATAGGGCCCGACACACGTGTTTCGATCTTGCAGTATCTCAATTTGGCAGTTACCATTCCCCGTCTCTTGCCAATCCTGCGTGGATACTCTAGCTCTCATTTTTAGAGTAGACGACGATGAATGATTTACTCGTGCCGTCAAGTCAAATAAATCATTAGATTGGCAATCTTGTACACTCGATTGCTCTTGGCTGGTATTATGGAATAATCATACCATTTGTTTTGAGTGTTCAGTCGAGTGTACAACACTGCCGAACTAATGATTTATTTCACTTGATGGCACGTGTAAATAGTTTGCCGTCGTCTGTTCTCTATAGGGGGATTTAGAGACCTCCGAGAGGATTGACAAGGACGAAGGGTGCTGCCCAAGTGACAAGGCTGCCAAGGTCGGAACACGTGTATCGGGCTCCATAAGTTGCCCATAAAAACGACATGACATGTTAGCTCGAAAATAATCATCAAATATAATTTATTTTATTTTATACGACCCATCACCACAATTCGCTATAGTGATCCCATCATTTTTTTTGCATTCGATCCGGTTTCTCGTATTCCCATCCTCCACAACGATCTTCAAACATTTCTCGTGTTGCCCCGCTGCTGCTTAAGAAGTTCATCTTCTCTACAACCGTCATGGTTTGCTGGTCAAGATGATCCTCTTTGAAATCTCGGAGGTGATCCAGCTGAGGCGTTTGTTTCCTAAGACGTTCGTAAACCAATCACAGTAGAGTGCTTGGGAGGGACCGAAACAACGCTTTATCTGCCACCTGGCTTCCCAATATACTGGCTCACTAACCACTGCGCTACCACGCCCACCCCCCAGCTTTTTGTACGTACCTGCAAGAGGTCTGTAATTCCGGGTGGGTTCCCCAAATATGATGCAACTATTTCAATTTCCAATGAGATCGAAGAGCACTTCTCCAGTGATTGCCGGGTTAGCGGACAGAGAAGGACGCTTTTGGGATAATGAACTTGAATCCGTTATCTTTCTGCTTTCTTTGACAGTAGTATGATGTCATAGAGATCATCTAAGGGTACAGAGAGTACGCAAAAACCCGACCTCAGGCGGGAATTGAACCCGCGTCTCGCCCGTATAGGGGGAGAGGGCGAACTACCACTACATTACAGGAGCCATCCGTTTTACTACCACCTTGTTTGATTTTCAATTTTTGTTATGCGAACTAGGTAGGATCGTAGAGCTGAAAAACAAAGCCAGTGCATGAGTCACGTGACAGCACGTCAGTTTCGCGTTATCTCTCGTATTGACTGGTTGTCCCACATGTCCCTCCTAATCAATATTAACGCTGTCGAAACTCTAAGAGCACATATATTTGCTTAAAACTTAGGTAATTGAACCTCGATATAACGTGGATTAAGCCAAGGAGAAATGGAGCCACGTGGATGCAACAACAAGACAAATTTAGTAATCAACTGCTATGGAGTTTCATTGAATTTCAAAGTATTTACGCTTGAAAAAAATATATAATTTAAGCGGAGTATTTACTTTTATTGTCTTTTAACAGTGGTATGATCTACAAATATTCACTTAAGACTATTGAGTGGTATGCAAAAATTCGACATCAGACAGGAGTCGAACCAGGTTCCAGTCTACCACGGTGCGTACTACCACTACACCACAGATGCCACTGTCCTGCTACGGTGGCTGATAGCTAGTAGCTACGATAATATATGTATAGAAGAAAGAGTGACAGCAGAGTGATGGCCTAGGTGGTGCAGTGCTGGCACGCATCCGCGGTATGGGTGAAACGCGAGTTCGATCCCAGCCTGTGTCGACGATCGTAAATCACTCAATTCAAGCTAAAAACTCTGAGATCCCGAATATTCCCCGTCAGAAAAGCAGTGACACCGGTGGTACCGGGAAGGCGTTGCATCTTTTTCCTTAATCATCCGATTCCTAGCCAATTTCTTGCAAATTTTGGAGTGGTCCTGAGAATATCGATTTTTTTCGAACCGATCAATAACTTCCAGATTTTTCCGGCCCTCAAAAAATCCTCGAAAAAAAAGGAAAGCTCAGATAGCCAGCTGAAAACCATGAAATTCTCGACAAAGACAATATGCGCTAGAGGCACAGGGTACATCCCCCCCTATTTTTTCAACGCAATTACATCTTATTAAAAAAACTTGAGAGACAGAAAAAAGGAGAATTAGAAAAATTCAGAAATGGCCGAGAAGGAAAAAAGCGGGCCGTCAGGGTCCAGGATGATGTTAAACTGATATGCGCCAGCCACCTAACGGGGGGCATCAACCTCGTCTGTGGTTCGGCGGCGGCCCCGTACGACGATGTCCTGACCCCGATCTCTCTCGGCCGGCCCCGACCGACTGACCGACTCGGCCGTCCTCCTCGCCCCATCATCTCTCCTCCTACTCGCTGAGCTATTCGATCGAAACAATGTCTTCAGATATGTCCGATGTTGGTCTGCTTGTGATCTCGACAAGAAATCTGCCGAAACTCATCAGTCTCCTTGTCGCAGCTGCTCAATCGATCCGCTCACGTCTCTATATCCGGTCAGTTCCTCTTCCATTTCCTTCTCATATTTGTTTTCGTTTTTTTTTTCATATCTCCTCTCTTGTTCTCGTTTTTGACACTTCAGTCCTCGCCTCCTTAGTAGTTTACGTACGGCAACAGATCGATTTTCGCAAGCGGCGCGCGATTTTCGCAAATTTGATGGTTTTTTCTTCTTTTTTTTTCGAGTAAACTTCAGGTTTCTTGTACCATCCGGATACTCCATAACTTCCTCTACAACCTCATATACTTTTTGTGCATTTTTGCCCCCCTATGTGCGACAAATGAACGCATGTGGCGCAGTGATTAGAGGTGCTCTGCGTCGCACACGAGGTCAGTGGTTCGATCTCGCGCTCATGGCTCACCAAGCCATCCATCCTTCCGGGGTCGGCAAATTGATATCAGACAGGTCTCAGACTTATCTGGGAGGATAAGCAGCACTGACTCGGTTCGGCGGGAGGCCACCGCGAGTCATTGTAATGGCCAGATATGCATTCAGTCACCTCAAATGAAGTTAACAATTGAAGTCGAATGCATGGCGCATCCCTCAGGGATTGATCAATGCCGAGAGCTTTATCTTCTTATCCTTTATGTGCGACAAAAACTCCCATTGTGTAGCGTAATTTTATTTCTCCTCGCACAACGCACTATGAGGATTTTCTCAAAAACCAAAAGAAGCTTTTTTGAGGAGCCAAGTACGATGTTGAAATGGCTAAGTTTTGAGCTTTTGTACGGCTACTGAAATGTTAGTGAAGAAGCTCTATTAAGTGAAAAAAGGGGCTGAGAAGTCATGCATTGAAGACGATGCACACCGTCCACGAATGGTTAATCTAGACGATGTCTTCCATGAATTTGAAATCATGATATAGAAGCATGCAAATGAAAACAGAGTTCTCGTTGAAAGTCTCACTTTCGGTAATATTATTCGAAAGTTTGGAACCTCCCGGGGAGTAATTCTGGGCTTAGGTGGCTTCAATTGAACCCTTTGGGTTATTCACAGTGCTGAATGCTGTCCTCGTTTACATGGCAATAACGCAGCGTATACTAAAAGAATTTCTTGCTTTACTGCTTTTTGAGAAGTATTATGATATTGCAATTATATATTCAAAGATGCTGAGTGATATGCAAAAGTGTTGACCCCAGGCGGGAGTTGAACCCGTGTTTCATCCATGATATGAGTATTGGTATGAAATACGGGTTAAACTTCCGCGTGTGGTCGAAAATTTTTTGCATATCGCTCGGAATTCCTGGATGTACAGTTATGGAATATACTCATTAGTTCTGCTTCTACACATCTATTCATATACTCCAATTACTCTATTATACCAGGATGTTACATGAGTTTTTCCACTAGGGCAGGCAACCTTGACTACCAAATCTATTACCGAGAGGTACAAGGCTGACAAGTTGGCTCAAATAATAATGAAAGGATATATTGAAATTTGAGCGTGGTCTAAATAAAGCACTCGAAATAAAGGTATAATTATGATAAAAGTACCAGCCAATGAGCAATCGAGTGCACAACACTCTGTGTTGGGTGAAGGTTTCACTTGACATAGAGTGTAAAGCGTTCGTCGTCGATGACTCTTTACAAGGAGTGTAAGGCTTCCGAGAGACTGACTATAAAAAATATCGAAAGACGACGGGTTCTGCCCGACTGACGAGTCTGTAAGGACGAAACACATGTATCGGGCTGTACAAGGCCCTTACCAGACCACATGACAGGTTGGCTCAAATAATAATGAAAGGATATACCCAGAGGTAATTAAACGCATAATTTCGGTTCAATGGCGCATTTTCTTGCGAACATTTTGGTATACTACTTGGCTATACTTGCTCTAAGACGGAGCTGTCTTGGAATAAGTTCGCTTGCTACTCATACAGGGAATGCGCGAAGGGGAAAGTGCTAATGAAGCGGCGCGCAAGATTATGTTGGAACTCTATCCAAACAGATCTTGTCAACAACCTCGTATAAGCAGGGAAATCTTTAAAGGATACATCAAGAGTTTTATTTGGATGCGATGAACTGAATGTATATATCTATACATCTTGAAGGGCATGGAATCAGTTGTTAGCTGTAACACTTCTATCTGTTCAATTACCCAAGTTTGAGAAGATAAATGTGTTTGAGTTGCTGTTATTGAAGTTTTTGTCATTAGAAGAGAATTCTCTTACTTTTTTCTCGTGCAAAATGGATATGATCCCGGTTACTCAACCCTTTCCGGATCACAGTTCAAATCACTCGCGGTGGATTTTCGTTTTGAATTGGGGTTTCTTTCCCGTTTCGAAAAGCATTTAGAAATTTTCTTATTCTTTTGATGCTCCTTATTCTTCTATACACTCTTCCATATCTTTGGTGTCCTTTTTTGCGAAGAAAAAGCGCTACTAGTAAAAAATATTCTGCGCACTGCATGCGATGTTACTTCAACGATAACTCCCAACAGCGTTCGGATTTTAATATACCTGAGGTGATGGGACTAGTATATAAATGTAGAGGAGACTTTATTCTATCGGTTCCTATGAGTACTAATTTCCATTCATTTCTAAACAATTAAATCCCGTGTGAAGTTTAGCCCCACGAGCTAACTTTTTGGAACTCAAAACGTAACCTTCTCGTAGCATAGCTTACTAAGAAAGGCTCTCGAAACAGAAGGCCTATTATCAGGGATCGACACATTCAAGGTATAAATCGGCCTCTTTTTCTAGTGAAATAGCATTATCTGGCGAAAAAGGCCTTCAAATAATAATGTGTTCAAAATAACACACGCGGTCCTCAAGGGTTAAAAGGTCCACTTTTTGACTGACTACGTCCTTAGCCATCTCCTATACGAATCTCTCATTACTTGGCAGTCAACAAGTGTTGGAAAAAATTTTAATTGATAAGAGATTATTTAGAGATTCTGATCTTGTTTTACAGTGTCCAGAGCCCGAGTTTGGATTCGTTGTTGCCATCCTTGTATCTCCAGTCGTCTGTCCATTGTCCCAATTTGGACGTTCGTGTTCTGCTCGGGCAAAAAATTCCTCATTATGGTCGTCTTATTGGAGAGGAGAGCCCGGAAGATATGTCTGTTCATCCTCCGAAATACAAAAAAGTCGTCCTAGGCGGCACATTTGATCGATTACATATTGGTCACAAGGTGGGTGCTTTCGTTTCCTTGCAGATCACAGGGCTTTCTATCAATGACATCTTTCTCTATATCGTTCAACGCGTGCTAACTTATCATTCCGTTCTAGTTAAGGTTCTTTTGTCGAAGGCTGCTCTGCTAGCCAGCGAGTGTGTTGTTTGCGGAGTTACGGACAAATCAATGATTGAAAGTAGGTGATTACAGGAGTGTTTTCTATGACAAAGATTTTTTTCTAAAGGTTTTCCTCCTTCAGAAAAGTCGTTATGGGAACTGATAGAGCCGATATCTACGAGAATACAAGCCGTAGAAGACTTTATTGCCGACGTGTCGGACTCGGTTGTTTGTCAGGCTGAGCCGATTGTAGATCCCTTTGGGCCCTCTACTCGAATTCCTGAACTGGAGGTAAGAATAAGATTTACCTTTGAACTTGTCATCGTCAATGAAAGCATAGGCGAAACGTCTAAAGACAAAAACCCTTGTGAA